CACATCCCTTCCAATACACCGGCACTTACTGTTCTGTTCCACAGTGCAAACCGCGAGCTCACTGTTCAGTGTAAAGGTTGGGCAAATTCGAACTCTGGATGTGCTTTTGCTTATACAGGAAAAGTGGGAGGCGCCTTATTCTAATCTTCTGTGGGGGAGGGGTGTGGTTACACCCAGCAGCTGTTTCACTGCTCTGTGAGAGAAGAGCTGAGCAAATGGCTGGGCTGAGCTGGTAGATAAGCTCCGAGGACAGGACGAGGCGGTAATCTGTACACGTGCGTTGGCTGCACGGTTGCGTGCCAGTCTCTGACGCTTTCACTACAGCTGTGACTCATAGCTGGGAACAGCAGAGCAGTTCAGGTACCCTAACAGAAGCCCCGGTAACTCCAAGACTTCAGCACTGACGCGGGAGCCGGGCTACCCCTCAGCTTCCCCGTCAGCCCTGCTGTCCGTCTAGCAGGGCGCGTCACCGAGGACAGACTAATGTGTTTACTTTGGGGATAACCGGGCCACACTACGTGAGCACCATGCCATGTGTACGGTCACGGCTCGTGGCTGAGTTAACCAGTGTAAATTAGTCTGGACTAGGATGACGCTACACAAAAGCTTATTGATAACAATAACCTAGTTACGAAGCATAGCTCAATAGCAAAGCATTATTTTCCCCAACCTAGAAAACTGGGCAATGTTTTTCACAGTTTTTAAAAAAAAATGTAATCTTATTTTTTAAACTGCTGCAGAAAACATGTTACAGACATTTACATATTTATGTGTGCAGCATGAGCTCTTTATACATACATATTTAAATTGGGTGATTCCTAATGAAACCTACACGTTTGATGAAAAACTATGGAATACGGTTATTTTGCTGACCATCATCCATCCAAAACTGGAGCAGGGACACTCGGGCATCTAATGAGGCCAAAGGCCTTGAGTGGACCACACATCTCACCCAGGAGACCTTAGCTAAACATGGATGTGGGGAGTGAATGACAAATCCATCTATCCAGTATGATAGAAAGTACGCACTAAAAACACCCAACTTAATTTTTCTCTTCCATTGAGAATTTCGGGCACGTTTCTGTATGGGTTATGAATGACACAGGTCAGTACCCAAAGAAGACAAACTGTAGTTGGGGGTTCTTGTCTTTTGCTGTGTGACTCTTCAGGAACTGCTTAACCTGAGTTAACTCTTGTTCCCTTTGGCTGAGGCAGGAAGAAGGGATATTTACTCAGATCCTGATAGAGGGAAAGGACACTCTACTCCGCCCCCTCCTAAACAAACAAAGCTCTCCTTATTCTTCTGAGTTGATGAATAGGGATCATTTACTTCCAACCACTCTGGGACTCTCTGGACAGCATTCTAACTGTCTTCATTCCGTGAAGGACAGTACACCAAGATTCTCCTTTGTAATAGGACAGTGCCACAACTGCCCGTATCACTCTCTGAAGCTTCCTCGGAAGCAGGACTGCCGCCACCTGACTTTTACCACCGGAACCCTGGGCAACAGTTTACCATTGTTTAGTCACAGCGCAAGACACTGGGAGTCTTCAGGAACGTGTACATCAGGGATGCCAGACGGCTAGAAACAGGATGCACACATTTTCTAGACTGTGCCGCATCAATGGGAAATCTCTTCATTAACTGTTTACACACACACACACACACACACACACACACACACACACACACACACTGTAAGTTTTTAAGTAAGCAAACAATACACACATTTCTACCTAAATGAACCTTTTTTGAGGTCAAGTAAAATTGCACCGGCTTTGCTAGATGGGTCCATTTTACTTTTCATACGCTGTTATTAAAATTGAAAGGCCTGTTAAGAAGCTCATAACTTTACAAGTATCTGAGTAGAAAGTGCTGGCGGTGACCACAGACCTCCAGCTCCTTTTGAACGTGTTACTGGTTTCTAGCGTCTACAAAGAGACTGGACTGAAGAGGCGTGCCATTACATACCAAAGAGGAGAAAACAGCCTACAGCTCCTCAGAGGTGGGAGCCAGACGCCCCTCTTCTGTGAAACCTCGATGCTGTGTTTTCCTCTTAAAGTATTATTCTGACCACCTTGGCCAGAGCACCCCGAAACTCCCTATCCCCTGAAATTCCCTGTCCACACTGACTTCTTCCTAGAGGCGTGGGTAGCAGAGGCAACGTCCTCTGCCAGGTGAAACCGCAAGATGTTTTCCTGACTTCATCAGTTCCAGGCCTCTCTCTCAGCTTGTTCAGGTTTCAGAGTGAGTCAGCAGCCACTGCAGCCCATCTCTCCTTTGACCAGGACAGAGCTGCTGAGAGTGAATTATCCGCTTGCTAAGACTGGCATGGGAAACCGAAAGTGCCAATAACCCAGCCCAATGTCGTTAGGACACGCCAGAAAATCAAAGTGTTTGCTTTGATGATATTTTACAGCAGCTGCTAAAAAACAAACAAACAAACAAACAAACAAACCACACAGCAGGAATAAATATCCCTTGTGTCCACTCTAACTTATTAAATATGCTTCAGTCCAAGTAAATGTGGAGGTCTTCCCTGAGAAAAATCTGGGAAAGAAGAAAATAGTGTTTTGCTTAAGGGGAAATGTTCTGCTTGTGGGAAACATAAGGCGATGATGAAATATGACATTGTCTTGAGCAGTCTATGCATTTCCACACATAAAATAACATTCCTCGCTTAGTCTACCATGCGTAGTCCTTCAACAAATTAAGCTGATACATTTTATCTTATTGGAAAAAAATTTAACATACCCTTTTCATTACAGTGAGTACCTTAAATTTTACTACAAACACTACGATGATTTTTTTTTTTTAAGTTTTGAAAAAAGCCAGGTACTCAAGAGACAGGGACAGACCCTCTCTGAGTTCGAGGCCAGCTTGATCTACACAGTTCTAGGACAGCCAGGGATATACAGTGAGACCCTATTTCAAAAAGAAGAAAGAAAAAAAAAAAGAAAGAAGGAAGAAAGGAAAGAAAGCCTATAATTTAAAAGCCTGGGAAAAGTAAATAAGCACTGCTAAATTCTAAGCCTTGTTCTCAGAATGCGAATTTTTTTCTTCTGTCCAACTCTGAGTTCTATTTTCCCACCAAGAGACCGTTTTCATTCATCCCATAAATATTTACTAAGAAACTATTCTGTATGAGGCACTGAGCCAAGCAGAGGTCACACAAGAGACAGAGGCTCTGCCCTCAGGAGCTCACAGGCTAACACACAAAGCAAGCAGCAAGTGTACACATTCAGACTATACTAGCAACCTTACAGAACAAGGTAAGACCCTGGCCAGCTCTTCCCAGAGTTCTTAACCAATATAAGCTCAAGACCAAAATTCTAGCTGGAAAAAAACAAACCATGAATCCAGAGCCACATCCCACATGCTCCTAGCGCACTGAAGCCAAACGTTGGGGCTGGTTCACAGCAGGGTGACCCTTCTATCATTCACGTGGACGGAGCTGGTGAACTTTTTCAGTCCCCTACATCTCAGTGCTTGCAGCCTGTCCACTTTCCTGTTTGCTGCACCCATATGAGTTATTCTGTTTAATTAACCTGCGATTCAAAGACTTTTGCATGTTGAAGTCCATAAGCCTGACCTAATTTTCTAAAGACTTCATTACAGATATATCTTGATTTTTACATGATTTTCTTGTCTTCCTTTTCCTTTCTCCTCTTCTTTTTTGTTTGTTTGTTTGTTTGTTTGTTTGTTTTAGACAAGGTCCCACAATGTAGGTTTGGCTGTTCTGGAACTCACTCTGTAGACCAGGCTGGCATCCAAATTCACAGAGATCCCTTGCCTCTGAGTCCAAGTGTTGGGATTAAAGGTGTGCACCACTATATCTGGCAATTTCCAGTTCAATTTTATAAAATGTATGATGGTTACCAAAAACTAAATACCTCCCATGAACTAATTATTTTCCCACATACAGTCCTGCAGGGTACTGTTGGCCCTGTTTTTACAGATGGCAAAACTATTTTCCAGCCCTGCCCCGCTACGCGCGCGCGCGCGCGCGCGCGCGCACACACACACACACACACACACACACACAGTAAAAAGCTAGGGGCAGGCTTTCCGACTGTTGACAAGTTATTCTTTCACAAATCATGTAAGTAGCACAGAGTTCCCACCCCCAGGGCACACGATACAGAACTACTCAGAATGCAACACTGTAATGCTATAACAATGCAGTTAAGCCTAAACAATCAGAGTCTAGCAAAAACTCCAGGGTGCGACAGAACCTCCAATTAACAAGAAAAACAAGACGTGAAGTAACTGCAGGTAGGTGACAAGCACCACAATGCCTGGCTAAGATGGATGGCCAAGTCGGGTCTGCGCAGCTTTACCCCAAGTGGGCATCTGGAAACTAAAGACATCCAGAGAGTCAGGCAGAGTTTGTGTCTTGTTCTAACTGAGCTGGTCCAGTCTCAGGTCCTGACAGTGTCCACTCACCCACTCTGGAGGGATTGTCTAGAACAAATACTAAGCATCACCATCAGTGTCGTGATGTCGTAAAACCGCCAGCGGCAGCTTCCTGAGAGCGTAGGAATGTCAGCTGGAGTCTAAACTGGAACGCATACTGTTCACTCTTCTGCAGCTGGTTTACCCGGTGGCTTATCAAAGTACACCACTACTGGCCTCTGTGGGCACCTAGGAAGTGCTTCCACCGCAAGAACAGACTGTAAGCTAACCGGATATCCATTCCCTAGCCAAGTTCTCTAAGGGCTACTGCACTTTTAGAGGCTGCCCCTCCCACCTCTTGTAAAGCAAACTCCAAAACACACACACACACACACACACACACACACACACACACACACACCCGTTACAACTCCCTGGGCTTGGCTGTGGAATTGCTTAAGAAGCATGTCACTTTGGGGCTTGGGGTCTGCCAGCTTCCCATTCGGCGGCGTCCTACTGGCTTCTTAAACACGCACATGATTAATGCCGGCACTCAGGAAAGAAAGCGACTTCTGACCTTGAGAGTGTGCACTAAATGAATTACCTCAGAGCGAAAGTGATGAGATCTCAGAGCAGCATCTGGGGAGAGAAGAGGGAAAACGAGACTTCATTAACGCCCGGTTCTCAGCCGGCAGTCACTGATCACTTACCTGGATTCAGGGAAGCACATTCTAAATGTCTCTCTCCCGTTCTTACTGGGGTAGGGCGGAGGGAGCACTGGCCCTTCTGCCTCTAAGGTGATTTCTCTGCAAGAAGTTCCAGCAAAGTTGGGAGGGGAGCCCCCAAACCATCACGCCTTACTTTTTTTTTTTTTTTAATGATTATTATTATTTATCCCTAAGCTCCAGCAAAGGCTGAGGAAAGGTTAGGGTGCTTCAGCCCAGGACTCCGTTACTATTACCTTCCAGGCTTTAGTAAACTGACCCTAAGAACCGGAGTCTGATCCTTCCTTCTGGCACCTCCGAATCTCCGTGGTCGGTGATGGGGGGGGGGATGGCAGCGAAGGCAAAGGGCCGGGGCGCGTTCAATAAACAAACGCGCTCAGCTTAGGGAGTGGGCAGCGAAGGGGACAGGGGTGGCCCAGGAGGCTTCAACCTCGCCGCTGCCCACGAGATGCCGGCGGCGGCGGCGGCGCGTCTCACCTCTGCTCCTGGAACGCCCCGAGAAGACGGATTTCATGGGATGCCTCCCCTTCTGGAGCCTGCGGTGCCAGCAGCAGAAGAAAACGATGGTGGCGATGGTGCCCAGCAGAAGCAGCAAGAGGAAGAGGGCACACTGGATGCTGTAGGGTCTCAGCAGGACGAGGAAAGCCGCGGCGATCATGGTGCGGGCGAGGCGGGGGGCCGAGCGGCGCGGGGCTGAGGCTGCGGAGCGCGCGGGGCGCGGGGCGCGGGGCGGGCGGGCGCGGGCG